AGTCCAGATGAGCGGGGTTGATCTTAAAAGCTCTTGCTCGGAAAAAGCCTATAGATGCTAGTGTGGACTTAATTGCCATTGGGAGGGATGAAGCTTGTGAAAACCTTAGTGGAGCTGATCTTTCTGCACTGGTTTGACTCTTTTTGAACTTCTGTTTGCATAATTTGTTTCTGTAGTTCTCTCTCTCTCTCTCTCTCTCTCTCACACACACACACACACACACACAGTGACAGTACTAGGGTGCAACTTGGGCGGGTTGAGAGGTTATCTAGGATCAACGTACTCGAGCTGTACTGAGAGTTGCCCAATCCTGGCTTGCAATCCGAGATTGTCTGCTCATGCTCATGCCAAGCTTGGCTTGTGGTTGGGCTTTTCCTAACTGCGTATGGTTTGTTTTTGTGTTTGTTTTTGTCAATGCTAGATGAATGAAGCAGCCATGGCTGCACTCGAAGAGAAACTGATTGCCCGAAGTTGTAGTTCAGATGCCACGTCATTGACTATCAAGAAAATGCATTTTGAACAGGCTCTGGAAAAAATCTCTCCATCTGTCTCAAGCAAGATATGAGTTAATAATGATTTTAGCAGTGTCTTTGTATGAAAAAACATGCATGTACGTTGGCCTTAATCAGCTCAGTTTTATTTATTTATTTTTCTCCCTCCACCTAATTTATGAACTTGTTTGGGGTGCGGCAAAAACAATACTACCAACTTTTGTCAGAAAGCTTCAAAGCAGTGTGAGTGGACTTGGGAAAATGGAGTATTTGTTGATAGTTTTTGAGATAATCAGATTTTTTTTATATTTATTTTTAATTTATATTTTTTATAATCAATTTTGTATATATTGCCGATTGATTTCTAGTTGCTACTATGCGTGAGATTGCAACAAATAATCTCGAGATAACTTATCTGGCCTGAATATAGTTTTCATTCCTATGCTGGGGAAAGATTTTGTAGAGTAGTGAAGGATGATGTATTTGGCTTACAGGGTACACCGTCATTTCATAAAGAAGTTTTATTCTCATTATTTGGCTTACATGGGTACTTCAATTTTCAGAATTTACTATTTTGGTTTTTGGAAGGTCGGTAAATGGAAAAAAAATGTACAGATTGAATTGAACTATGCCAAATTCAAGTAGTGCAATACTTGAACTCCGGATTTTATGTTCTATTTTTGTCATGAAGATAGTTGAAACAGCCTAAGCTATTTGTTGGTTTAACAAAATAGGGTTGTCCTTTCTTTGTTGTATATGTATTATATACCTGCATAGCATATACCAAAAGGGGTTGTGTATTATAGATTTTTTCTATAGAATTTCTCATGTATATATACATGCATATATACATTGTATATTTCTGTTGAGTGCCAAAGGAAATTACCCAAAACGAGACTGAAGCTTACATTAAAGTTTTTAGCTGGTTCATGGTCCTGGTGAACAGCCCTGGAGCTTTTGGAAAACAATATATTATCAGAAATGGTGGCCGGTGGTGGGTGACTGCCCAGATGTCACAGGGCGGTTAAAGGGTGGAAGTTGGCCTAAGGCTTGCCCGAGGGTTGCCAAAGCTTGCTGGAGGTCACAAGGTGATTAGAGGGTAGCTGGAAGGTGGCTTAAGGCTGCCAGAGGGTGGCAGAGGTGGGTGGTGGCCGGTAGTGGTGAGGGTGGGGAAGGAGAGTGAACTTATTTTGAAAATAGAAAGTATATATATCATAAAAAAAATAAAAATAGAACTGAAAATGGAAATTGAAACTTGTTTAGTACTCCCATGTTTTCAAGTTGTTTTTTTGATTCCGAAAAGGAGAATTAAAAAATATATATTTCTGTCAATTTTTAATTTTTTTTTCACAAATAAGTACTTGATGAGATATTTTAATTGGTGAAAAATTAAATTTTAACACAAAAATATGTATTTTTAAGTTCTCATTTTTTATGTCGAATAAACAATTTGAGGTATGGTCTAACTTTAAATATTAATATGATTTTATCAAAAGAAAAAAAAAACCCTCAAAGTTGTGGGTAATTGAGTCCAAATCTGAGTTCAGTTTATTATATTTAGGGTAGGCTTAGGCAAATAAATTTATTAAACATAAGTGTGAATAAAATGTTTCATGAAATTTTTTCGTCATTTGATTAGTATGTGGTGTTTTGTAGTATGTGAGATAGAGAAAATTCTTCAATTAAACACTGTAAAATACACACACCTCATTGAGCCAAAACTCATTCAAGGGGCCACTCCAAAACTCATACCCCTTCGTATCTACAATATATAATCAGATCTGTGATATTAATCTCATCACTGCATATATATATATATATATTCAAATCAACAATTTCATGCAAAATTTTGAGTGAAGAGAGAGAAGATCAAAGTGAGCAAGCTGGCCTTGAAGGTAATACAAATAAACATAAGCACTACTATAATAAAAAAGAATGACACTTACCAGCAATGGAAGCCAGAAGAACACTGCTATAATTTGAAGCTTGATTTTGCACCTAATAGAAAAAGCAGTTGCCTATAACTTGTTTTCTTTTTAAAGTTTTGTTGGATGTTTGAATATTAATAGGCTATTATAATTCATATTGAATGTGTGGTAGATTAGTAAAGAATTTTTTAAATTATTTTCATGAATATTGACATACTCCTATATATTAGGAAAAATGGATTGAAACACAAACAATTCAAAATAATTTTACTTTTATGAAGGTACAAGTGAGCTTGTGCCTGGTGAAAGTGAAATATGTGGTATGGGATGCACTTCTTACATTGCTCCGACTTACATTTCCATATAAGTGCAATTACTTTAAGTTATTCACACTTTAATGTATTTCTTCTTTTCTATATATTATCGTTTTGGGTGTTAATATTTAAATAAGTTACCCTTATGGGCTCGTTTGTTTGGCCGCGTGAAGCATGTGAAAGGATTGTGTATGATGTGGGGTCACCAATGGCATGTTTGGTATAGTAGCTCGGGTTTAGATCCGACCTTTTTATATTCTTTGATCCGGAATCCGGTACTTATTGTTGTTGTTTGTACTCGTTGTCTTGTTGTGATGTGGGAATGGTTGTTTGGAGTTATTGGTTGTGTTTGAACAGGTTGGGAATTGGAATTTCAAAAGAATTTATATATGTTTGCCGTTGAGTTCGCTTGAGCAGTCTTTCCTTCGCTCGAGCGGGCTTTGGTTCTGCCTAGTATCTGTGTTTGCATTCTGAACTTCTGGGAGTGGGGTGTTCTTTGCTCAAGCCATGGGTTAGTCAATCGAGCAGTATTCTGTGTCTGATGCTTGAGCGGTATTTCTCTCGCTCGCGCGGTATCTTTGCAAGTCTGAACTTTTGGGAGGGGGCCATTGTCATCGAGCCATGATTTGGTTGCTCGAGCCGTTCCTAGTGTCTAACGCTCGAGCGATGTTTTGGTCGCTCGAGCGGTCTATGCTTATATTAATACGGAAAAAGGTATTTTCTTTCACTTTTTGATCTCTCTCTCTCTCTCTAATGTGTTGTGAAACAAGTTTGCTTGAATTAGGATGTACAATCTGCTTATAATCTAAAATAAATTCTAATGCTAACCATGTTAGCCGTGTCATGTTCGGATTGACACAATTACAAGAAGGTTAGGTCAGTGCCATGATATTTAACATGTATAATTAAATGGATCATGTTAGTGTTGGGTGTTTTGGACACGAACCCATGATGACACGACACGACATGACATGATTCATGCCTCACTTGGGATGAGGATATTCTTAGCATGCGTTTGGATCAAGGCTTTGCGGGGGATTTGTGGAAGGAAGGAAAAAAAGAAGGGAAAAAATGTATGAAATAGAAGCTAAGGTAGCGTTTGGCAGAGTTTTAGAATTATGATTTGAGAATAGAGTTGTATTTTGAGTTTGTGAGTTTTGGTTTCAAAGTGAAACATTGGAAATAGCAATCTCGATGAGCTGCAATACATGAGTTCAATGGTTGCCTTGTTGAACTACATATGTAAGACCTTAATTCCAAAGGGTTTTGGTTCATTTGGACTAAAAAAAAAAGAGCAAAAGAAAAAACCAGCAAGTAGATAGAGTATTAGTTAATAATCCCAGTGGATTCAAGTTTTTAAATATCATTCTCCTAATGCTTTGTGTTGTTACTTTAAATGCCCGAAATTAAATTGAGAAATTTTTTCGAATTCTTGAACTTTTGGATGATGCATGGAAATGTCATGGAGATTTTTCAAAATTCTTAAAATTCAGCAAGTATTAGGTTCTCTAGTGTGTTGAGAACAAGTATTAGAATTGAAAGACTTGAGTTTGTACTTAGAAAATTGAACAAAAAATACTACTCTAACATTAGCTTGAGTCATTAAAAGCAAAAGAAAAACTAAATTAGATCCGCGAGTGCTTTTAATTCTCCATATAACCATAGAAAAAACAAGAGGCCCTTCAGCATTATATTAATTCCTATGTTGCAAAGAATCATTCCACAACTACAATGTCACAATAAGATTAGAGTTGATACCTATAGAATGAGGAATAATATTATCAGCCATTATGACAACAATTGGAAGAAATTAAGAGATAAATGAGATCTAGGCTTTGAATATAGGTATATATATGGTATAGATATGTTATGTATGTCCACATACATGTATTTCATTCATTTGAAAAAATTTATACTGGACTCAGAGCTCGCTTAGGATGTGGGTTAGTTTTTTGGCTATTTTAGCTTGGGACTAATAAGCCTTGTTTGAGATAGGCTTTTCGGCATTTTTTGACTTCTTTGAGAGAAAAAATGAAATGATTATGGGTTGGATGTAACATTTTGTCTTATTTGGCTAAAATAGCTTATTTAGTTTTTAGTTTTTATTTTTTTGGGTAGGTACTATGTTGCATGTGCCTAACTAGCATTTTGCCTCAGAACATCAACTAAATTGAATACATAATCAAAACTTTGTTCTAATCATTGTGCTTCTGCATCATCTATATGAGCAAGTAACAAAACATACTCTCAAGAATGATCTTGAAAAGTGAATAACATGTGAAAACTCAATTAGGCAATGTGGCAAAAAAAAAGAAGTTAAGTTCTAAAAAATCAGCCACCTAACCACACCTACAAATGAAGAATGTGAAGGACTACAATGCTAACATTGTCAATCACATTGTAAGCTGGCCCAAACCAACCAAAATGGTACTAATTTTCCGCTAATGAACAAGTTAGCAGTCATCAAATTGAATTACTTTGAAGCTACTCAAGTTTCACTGAACATGAAGGATAAGGATATTCGAACAGATTTTCCATATGAAGATTATACTTTATTCAGAATTTTCAGCAGCCGAATCTTCTTCCAAAATGCACTTTCAAACCTCACACCATCTGAAGAACTGACCTGTTTTTCTCTTCTTTGCAAATCCATCTCCAAATGACATGCAGATTAACAGAAAAAAGAAGGCCATTTTTAGTAAAGTGCCAAACCACTATGTCATCAGCAAGCCTTGGGCAAAAAGGGATTTTACATATCAACTCAGCTTCAAAATACCAAAAAAACATTATCTAATGAGAGCTTCATTCCATTCCAGACACCAGTGCTTTCGTCAACAAGAGAGTAAACTTTAGCATCAACATGGAATCCATCTGACTTTCCAAATCATCACAGACCAGACATTCAAATCCTTTCTTGCAGATTGCACACAGAATCTATTGCCTTTGATGACAAGGGAATTCTCAGATGTGCATGGATATTTCAGCCTGCACTACCATTTTTTTTGAGTCTTCCCATAACAAACCTCCATATTCTTGTGCAGTCTCAAGCATCCTCAAAAGCTACTTGCAAGATAAGGAAACAAAACCATAAGTTGATAAGAGGTTCAAAGTAATATACATGAACACAACTGTAATCGAGATGAAAAGGCAAGAAATTTGCTTAATAACCAATAAATTGAAATTAGCAACCCAACTCCAGCTCACTTAAAGGAAAAAGGACCAAACTTCATCATTTTATTAACTATTATTGTAAAGTCTTAACTACTCTATCAAGTAAAAGATGAAATGACCGATTCTTCCATATTGCCATTTTTGGAGTGGCAAAGTAACTATAGATTGCCCATATGGATTTTGACCAGACTAGGTGGCTTCCTAACCAAGGATGGATCTAGGGGGGTGCGGATGGGGGTGACCACACCCCCAAAAATTTGAAAAATTTCATATATTATACTAAGAAATTTAAAATAATTTAAAATTATAGGGGTTTGCACCCCTGAACATACTTTCGCACCCCCATTAGTAATAACGTTGGATCTGTACTGTCAAACGTAGAATAGCATACGAGCAGAAAGGCTTAAGAACACAAAGTGATTTTTTGCAATGTCTGGAAATTTAAATGATCAAAAGTCTTGCCTAAGAGTGTGCTGGAGGGAGGTTTTTTCAATTATGGAAAGGACTTCTTCTCAATTATCTTGATATATCTCTTACTCCTTTATCATTTTTTTTTTCCTGACTCTTGTTCCTTTATCACCGATGAGAGTTTTCAACATTACTAGATAAAGCCTTAATTTTAGAACAGAGCATCCAAATTACTCATCAAGTAAATTTCGGGCATACCTTGAGAACAGGTGCAAAAACTCGCAATGCAGTTTAGATGATGAGCATGCATACATCCTAAAGTTTGTTTCAACAACGACAACAAAGTCCTGAGAACAAAAATGTAAATACAATAGTCAGTACATTTTTCTATTTAAATTTTCAACAAAACATTGAAAAAAATACTAAAAAGCACAGTTTTACAAGCTGCAATTGCAGGTTTGTAACAGACTGAGGAAGTTGTCCCCTTTAGGGTTAACAATATTGTCGAAGCTCATGGAGGTGTATCTGTATTTGGTGGAATAGGCGAATGTACTCATGAAGCAGATGAAAAACAATATCAGCATTCCAAGTGAAATGGAACCACTCATTAGCTCTCGTCTTGGCAATTTCAAAAAGGAACAAATAACTCGAACTAATACAAATTACTGAACCATTTATTTTGTAGCCATTGGAAACATTATGCAGCTAGCTAATACATCATATGTCAACATTTCAATTGCTGATGTAACAGATTAATTTTCGCAAAATAATTCCATGCTGCCATGGATATTGCTATATGTTCTGCATAAATGGGACACACCAAATTTTTATGTCCCACCTAAGTCTAAAAAATTGCAAGAGTGGAATACATAATTCTAATTCTATTGAAATGAACTTGGAAGCCATGGTATGGACTACGAATGGATAACATAATGAAATTAAAGAAAATGAAAATTTTGTCTCTCAATTACGTGGAATCGAAGCAGCATTAAAGGAAAAATGAAAGATCAAGAGAAAAGGCACCGTCTAGCTCGGATTGTGAATGAAGCACCTGAAAAAAAAAAAAAAAAATTTTGTTAAGTTGGTGACAAGGATGAATTAGAGAAGTAATGTGTTCCTAAAGTAGAAGTGAACCATCAGAAGCTACAAAGTAGATTTTGATTGTCATCCATAGGTGAGCATGGAAGACCGTGAACATAGTGGCTACGATTTTGGATGATGGATGAGCTCAACATCTTTAGAGATTGTCATTGATACGGTTTGGGAGAGAAGCATTGTTGTCTTTTAAGGATAATAAGATTCTTCAATCTGCTAGCTATTCATTCAGAGCAAGACCCTAATATCTGAAACTCAAAATTTATGCATAAGCTCATCATCAGTAAATTTCGAATTTACTAAAACTAGAACTTGAAACAACTCAAAATTGCAATGATGGTAACAATAGAAGAATTATGTTTGAGTGAGTTACCGTCGTGAAGAGTATCAAAAAGTGATGCTATGCTTTTCAATAGACTTTAAAAAACTAGATTTATATAGTTCAAAGCTTGTGCATTTTTTTCCCCCAAGAATGAGATGTAATGTATGTTAAATGCACAAAGTAAAACAAAGACTCTCTTAAGGTCCTAACAAAAAGGCAACCTCGAGATATAATTTAAACATGGTGCATAGGTAAATTTTTTCCTTCCATTCAGGTACTTTACTTGTAGTACAAAAGTCACTTGTAGAACAAAAGTGTAAGGATTCTTTTGTTTACTTAAGCATGGATGAATTAATGTGGGAACAAGTAGAATTTTAGAAGAATGGCAGTTGATTATGCATGAATTGAGCTCAGGGTGAGTAAAAACAGTCATCAATGTCCATCCCTTTGACAGAATATTTGCTGAACCTAGCAAAAATTCATCTCTTATGCTTTGTTTGTTTCAGCAGAAAATATTTTTTGGAAAATGTTTTTCACATTTTCTGGTGGTTAGTACGATAGAAAACGAAAGTTAAATGGAAAATGTTTTCTATGGTCAATAAAAACAAACCTTTTTGAGTGAAAAACGTTTTACACTTTTGTAGGTGGAAATTTTTTCCCCCAAGTGTTAAACATTTTTCGGTTTAAAGTCTTACCAACACCACCACCCCCACTACAACCAACACCACCACTGATACAACCACTAGTACAGTAGTTTTAGAGAGAACATTTTTTAGAGATCATTTTTTAGAGAGAACATTTTATAGAAAGATAATTTCCGTAGAAAGGCTCAGTTCATAAGGTGAATTAGTTAATCTTACCTTGTAGAAATGTGTAAAGATTGCTAGTGGCGGTAATAATGAATAGGGCAATTTTTCCATCGACACCTATGAATAATACAAGATAAAATAACAAATGAGAATGAAAATTATCCATTCATTATTAAGGGAAAATAAAGAGAAATGAAATATTTGAAAGGAAAAGACAAAGAATGAATTGAAAAACAGAGCAGTGTGTGTTTAATCAGTAAGGTATTAGTAATTTCAACATTCACAACAAACTGAAACTCTCTTACGATCCAAAAGAAGTAGATAGTAAACTCTCAGTTGTGATAAAAATTTGAGATGATATTAGTAATGAGAAAATAAATAAATAAATAAAAATGGTATGACAGATTTTGTGTTTGTTTGTTTGTACCTTGCAGGGACTTAAAGGCTGACCCGTTTGATCGGAGTTAAAGACTTGGTGGGGTTTGGTTTGTTTGTACCTTGCAGTTGGCTGCTACATGAGGAATGTGTTGGATGATGGGCCAATATTCTTTCCCCTTTTCACACTTCTGTTTCAGTATTGGATTACATCCCCAGATCTCCAGTGTCAAAAGCGAGGGAGGGAATCCTTGTTCTGGAAAGGTCGCAAGCTTAGGGCAGTCATAGATACGTAGATGCAAAAGAGAGGGAGGCAACCCTTCCTTTGGAAAGGACGCGAGCCTAGGGCAACCACAGATATCAAGTGTTTGGAGAGAGGCGAGGTTTTGAAACTCCTCATAAGAGAGTCTTTCCAGATTTGGGAAGTCTTCGATGGTCAAATTGATAAGAGAGGTGGGCAAGAACATCCCTTCTTCTGGAAAGGACACCGTATCTTCCCACGGCCAATCTGGGCCTCGAAGATGGAGTGTTGTAAGAGAGGAGAGTTTGTGCAAACCCCACTCTAATGGAGATGGAAGTTGACCGACGTCGTCCACTCTGAGATTCCCGATATCAAGTGAAGTGATGTTGGTGGGGAAACTCCCTTCCTTGACAAAGTAGGAGACCATTCCACTCTGCAATGAAGTAGCAACAGCTTTTGAAGCGAAGTGAGTTGGTTGATGTTGTTATTCTCATCACGACCACCAAGTGACAGGGCCTCCAGATTAGAACAATCGTATATCTGCAATGCACTGAGATTCCTGAGATTATTGGCTTCAGGTAAAGATTTGAGACTACCACAAAATTGGACACAAATAGTTTCAAGAGATGGACAATCAATTTTGATCCCTTCCTCTGCAAAAAGTGACTCCAGATTGTCACACCAGCAAATATTAAGTTGTTTTAGTGTGGATGGTAGCCCATCTCTTGACAATAAATATCTGAGTGATGCACATTCAGAAACCAGCAACTCTTGCAGATTATTAAGTGTCATCAACTCGGGTAGGGACTGCAAAGCACCACACCGTGAAACACTAAGTTTTCTCAGCATAGATGGCAAACCTTTCATTGGAAAAGAGGTCAGACTTGCACAACCCTTGATTCTAAGCACCCCAAGAGATGTGTATGTGTGCATATCTTGTGGCAGTTTCTTCAGCATTCCACAATATTCAATTGTTAAATACTCGAGTCTCGTCATGCAAGGCAGCCCCTCATGTTGCTGCTTTTTCGGACCTTCTCCTCCTTTTTCTTGATCTTCTTCAAACAAGCAAATCAGTTTGGGGCAATGAGAAATCTTCAAATGGCAGAGGGAAGGGAGACATACTTGTATTCTCACCTTATTCTGCCATAATGTCATAAGTTCTTGGCAGTAAACAATGTCCAATTTCTTGAGTCTCGTCATGCAAGGCAGGCCCTCATGTTGCTGCTTTTTCGAACCTTCTCTTCCTTTTTCTTGCTCTTCTTCAAACAAGCAAACCAGTTTGGGGCAATGAGAAATCTTCAAATGGCAGAGGGAAGGGAGACATACTTGTATTCTCATTTTATTCTGCCACAATGTTATGAGCTCTTGGCAGTTATGAATGTCCAAGTTCTCGAGTCTCGTCAAATCTTGAGTAAACCATGCCGGTAGTAACGCCAGTTTTTCAACATGAGAAATGCTCAAAGTAGTTATTGAAGGCAAATGCTTAGACATTTCATTAGCTAGTAACTCTTCATCAGTTGTGCTTCGATCGCAGAGGGGGTCGCGAACTGTAACATGTCTAATATCCAAGGTGAGGGAACCAAGTTCAATCGTGTTCTTCGTCCCTAAGAGTGCTGGAAGGCTTGGGAGCATGACATTTTTCATTGACAAGGACGCAAGTGATGGGTGAATGAGGATCGAAACATCAATCAACAACTGCAGACAACCATCAATTTTGAGAGAATTCAGACAAGGAAGATCATTTGGTAATCTTCCAACAAGTTTGGGACAATTTATGATGGAAAGCTCACTGAGATGACCGAATGGCTGAACTCCCTCTGTTTCAAAAGCAGACCAATCCTCCCATTCTGGCATAAACTCGAAGCTTAGTCTCTCTAGAGAGCGGAAAGGTTTGGCACCACACTGCTGCCCATAGAACTCACAACCCAGGTGCTTTATTGCACTCATTCCTTCAATGTAAAGGTCTTTAAGCAAGGGTAGCTGTCCAAGTGGTGGCAAAGATGTGCAACGTTTGCTACCTTTCAATCGCATGAACACCATTTTGGAGAACGAAACATCTCCAACCCAGCTTGGAAATTTTGTACTGCGATACCCACTGATGGTGAGTCGCTCTAACAATTTGAAAGGTCTCATCAAGTCAAGCACATTCCTCTCAACTATGTCATTCTGTGAACTATGAGATTCATTCCATTCTAGTGATAACTCTTTTAACTCCTCCTTAGACATTAAATTGGCATCCCTTGCATCCTTAACACCACTGACATTCTCTAGTCTTGATATGTGTATTGCCCCTCGAAGGTGTGATAGGTTTTTCAACTCTGCTATTTTACGCCCACAATCTTTACCCACCATAAAATTTGACAATGTTTGGAGATTAATTAATTTACCTATATGTAGCGACATCTCTTCTGATGGTGGAATGTGCACGCCAGTCATGTCAAAATGGCGTAAGTTTACCAACCTCCCCATGTTTAGAGGCAACTTTTGAAGTTGACGACAAAATGTCAAAAACAAGACTTGTAAATTGTAGAGAGTTACTACTGTGTCAGGTAACCTTCTAATCCCAGAACCGGATACATCAAGATACCGCAAATGCTTTAGATCTCCAATGGAATTTGGTAGTTCAATTATACCAATACCACACAAACGCACCTCACGTAAACATTTTAACTTTGGCAACAAATCATGTATCAAGTACCTCGTTGTGTGGTGAAATTCTTGTCGTGGCAAAAATTCTAAGAATGTTCGTAAGCATTTGGCATCATCGAAAGCTTTAAATTTTTTGATTCCATCATAATTGCTAGCAACATAAGATGCATGACGTGCTTTGTCTGAAATCTTGTTCTGCCTGCCACCCTCTAAATTATTTTCCAACCTAAAACATTTGTCCCTCCCGGTGCTGTCATCTTGAGCCATGATGGGATAGACGGTGCTAACGGGTTTAGTGAATTGACGATTCTGTATGTATGGCGACACTCTATGCTTGGACCGGTTTGAATAAGTTCGGATTTTGACCCAACCCTACATTCTTGGAAAGTGATCGTGCCTACTCTTCCATTTGGTCTCCACTTTTGGTATGATGCATATATACCGTTTACGTGTCCATGACAAAGACTAATAATACTTTCTCATGTATTCGTTAGTCACTACTTGGGATGTAATTGTAACTATAGTAAGCGGGATTGAGAACCTTCAAAAGGAGATGAATGTTGAAGCATTGCCAATATCCCGATGCTGATGTTATGATTCATGCGCATGTTCCTCATTCTCATTCATCAATTACGTTCTCTCGTAGTATTTCTCTTTCATACGATGTGATTGCATACTGCCTATTCTTTGTTTCACGAGACCATATTAATGTGTGCTTTGCTCATGGATGGAACGTTTTTGAGTGCCCAATGTGCTGGCCGATTCAAGGGTAAGCCCTGTTGAGCACCTTTTGGTCTGCGCTATCTTCATACTAATTTTATATCGTGTACCAATTGATGACGACATTCTGGGTATTGCCGTTAGTATTTTGGCTGGTTCTTTATTGTTTGTGGGTCTCAGTTTACCAACATCTTTACTGTTAGATATTTGAGTGTTCCAAAGTGTGATAATCTAACTACCTTTATTTCACCAATCTGGCATACGTTGAACAAACTGTCCCTCCTCGCGTTTGCACAATGATTTTACTACTCTACTGGTGGCTCCACTCCTTAGTATATGTTGGTTCGTTTATACACATAGTTCCACCTATCACTGTTTTACCATATGTACTTCTCTTCATCTTGGAGCATAGCAATTTATTATAATATGCGCCAGTATTTGATATGCTCATTCTGTGCTTGTCTTTAAGATTTGGACTTGAACTCTTCGCGCATTATAACTTGTCTCAATATCACCATTTATAAATGCCATCGACAAGTGACTATTTTGTGTATATGTACTTACCGAGATGCCTTGTGTTGTTCCCTAGAATATCGAAGTTCAAAGAAAACAGCACAACCTCTGTCAATCAGCTTCAGTATTGGATATGATCTTTTTTTCCTTTGGTTGATTTGTTAAATGTTGCCATGTAAGTGCTGTCATGTCAGTTCTTAGCCGATTCACCGACCTGCCTACAATTTGAACGAAGAGGTATTATATTCCAAACTTTTATTGTTTGCTCACATTTTTGGTTTGGCTAGGATTATCCGGTGGGCATCCCCATGTGAGCGCACGTGCGTTTTGCTGTTGTTGATTATTGTGGATTGATAATTTTGCATT